CTTCGAATCTACTTACAAATAATATGGGGAAGTGTCAGTTCAACCGTATTTTGTTGGAAAACATCTAATTTAGTGCTTGGTTGAAACCAGTGGAGGGAACATGTTTGAAGCCCGCTGCACCTTTTGCAAAATAAATTAGCGTTTGTTTTGCTAATGTAGCGTTAGCTAGTGGAGTGTTAGCTAGTGCAGCAGCTCCCGCAACAACACCGGGGGACCTCCGGGCGAAGTTTGGGTCTACGTCAACCCTAAAAGCGGAGGTGCTGTAGACGCTAAATACCGTAGCTAAACACCAATCATACAACAGCAACGATGAAATAGTGTAGCCAAGGCAGCAGAGCTCTGAATATAGCTCACTCTCTCTCAGAGACAGAGACAGAGACAGAGGACAGAGACAGAGACAGAGACAGAGACAGAGACAGAGACAGAGACAGAGACAGAGACAGAGACAGAGACACACACACACACACACACACACACACACACACACACACACACACACACACACACACACACACACACACACACACACACCGACACACACACCACACACACACACACACACACACACACACAACACACACACACACACACCACACACACACACACACACACACACACACACACACACACACACACACCACACCACACACACACACACCACACACACACACACACACACACACACACCACACACCACCACACACACACACACACACACACACACCACACACACACACACACACACACACACACACACTTTTTGTCTAACACGCTAACAACAGTTCTGTACTGTTACGCTGTTGTGTTCAGTCATTGTTCTTATGTTGAACATGAATACATTTACTTTTGTAAGTGATTATGGGACGTATTTCTTCTTTATATGCATTTTCCTTCATACTTTAATTGCCGTGAAATAGGTCTTAATTCTATTCAAAGTGGTCTTAAAAGGGTGTTAAAAAGTCTTACATTTGAGTTGGCGAAACCTGCAGGAACCCTGTACAATAAAAAGTCCTGCATTCAAAATGTTACAAGTAAAAGTACAAAGTATTAGCATCAAAATATACTTAAAGTACCACCTGCAGAGGGATCTAGATTCAGGTGTCTTTCCCCATAGAGACCGCCTCGCTGCACATTATCCTTGCATAAAGATAGATTGTGGTCCATTATAACATGTACACAGTGGAAATAAACATTCTGGTTACCTCAACATCAGGGATCTTATACATTAAACTCCTTCTGAATCAAACCGTCACGGTAGCCTTACCTTACTGATCCCTCTTAAATTAGAAAAAACACACGTTACTTTACCAGCAGAGAGAAAATGGATTATTAAATTATTAATGTGACTAATAAAGAGCAGTTTGATAATTAAGTATTATTCTGTTGATCAGTGTCATTACATTTGGTGAAAAACACATAATGACTTGTTTATGACTCGTTTTGTCAAAGTTAGGACTTGACTTGACTTGAACTTGCCCATCCTGACTTGAGACTTGACTTGGACTTGCAAAACAATGACTTGAGACTTGACTCGGACTTGAGCGCAAAGACTTGAGACTTGACTCGGACTTGCAAAACAATGACTTGGTCCCACCTCTGCTAACCATTACTCCAAATTACTGTGCTCTCTAAATATATTCAAAATAATGTTAAAATACTCCATGTTGCTATCACACGACAGCGGAAAACTAAAGACAATCAGACAGTTTGCTTGCTTTTCAAACTGTTACATTTGAAAAACAGTTAGAGCGTCTCTTGTCAGTTTGAAAAGCCAACGGTAGGAACTGCTTGCGTTTTTGAGGAGCTTTTTGATTACAGATTTGAAAACATCGCTCCTTGCTTTAAAAGTAGCACAATTCATTATGTCAAACCTTGGAAAGTATCTAGATATCCCTGTCCTGATGCCAAAGTAACTGGCAACTGGGAATATGTGTCGCCGTTTGATGTCTATGTCTGGACCGCTGCGTAAAAAGGAGGGTTTCTGCCCCGTTACTTCTGCGCTGTTTTTCATGTCCCAGTTCGAAAAGCAAACTGCATGCAGTTTGCTTTTCGGCCCAACGGTATACAGTTAAATCGACCGGACTTCTTTCTGAAGATGTGAGCGTCCTTAACAACGGTCAATAAGTCCTTGACAGCGGTCTGTCTGTTCGGTATTAACAACGTGTCACGTGTTCTGAATTGACCAATCAGAATCGAGTATTCAACTAAGCCATGTAATAAATTACAATATCTAAGGGAGCGTTATTTCTGGACCATCTTGAAATGTGACGTTCATATTTTAAAGATACACACATTTTATTGTGAGGTTGAATGAATATACACTAAGCCTCTCTTCAACAATACGTTGACGTTAGCTAGTCTATTTTATGCGAAAGTAGAGCATAGCGAATTTAAACGAACCTTAACAATGCATACAGTAACCTAACTAGCAAACTAACTATCTAACGTACAAGGATGACCTTATTTTAGCAACCTCGCACAGAAGCCTTTTGGTATACAGTAGCATCCCACTTCATGTTTTACACTCTTGGATGCTACGCATAGCATCGTTAGCACAGATGGAGCTACCGATTGCTCAAATGCTAACCCAACTCTAAACATTCATTAACGTTAGCTTAATAAAAACACCAGTAACATAACATAAAGTACGCAGGGTTGACTTACCGAAGAAATTGCATTCATGGACGGTCTGTTTTAACCGCAGATAAATCCTATATTTGCAGGACGAATAGTCCACCGGGAGCCAACACAACAAACACGGCCGAGTTCAAGTAGTGTTCTCCTCATGAGCTGAGCCGCTGTAGCATCACGTAGCCAATGGAGCTAACGGAGCTAGCAGTGAGACAGAGGAATATGAGCAGCAGTCCCGTTTGTCATGAAGGGGAATCTATTACAGAATATGTTTTTGTGGATCCAGGCTAGAAACATGTTCATTTTCTGATGTTAAGTTGGACATTTTAACATAGGTCTACGGGAATTGCTCTCATCTGCATCCATCGCCTACAGTTTTGCAGCATTGGGCTTCACCGCACTATGTCCCCCAAGACGGTTTGATTGCATTTGGGCTCGATTGCTTATACTGTCTGAGTAGCTCGGATGATGCTGCAATCGCAATTTTTTGACATTGATTTTAAACACACGAAATATTTGACGTCGAATTTTTTTCACTTGCATTTTGGGATCTGAATTTGAACATTTTTATTTCACATAGGTAAATTCGGAGCAAAAAAAATTCAGATACATGATTTTCAAAGTAATTTTTTCAAATGCTATAACATTTGGTGTCTGATAAAATTCAAAATACTTCTGTCTCTTGTTTGCTTCCATAGTCACAAGCATCTGACACAATTTGTTGTTTGTATGTTTCGCTCCGTTCTCTTTTTTAATAGAGGGTGCATAACATTCAACTGCCCCGAAGATCCCGACCTGAAGCCTGAAGGG